GAAAGTCCTGTCATAGAGCACATCATGGAATCGTTCTCTGAGAATTTCTTTGTAAGCATTTCTTGTTGCTTTTGTTCATCTTGTAGACAGGATTCGTGCTGCTCCTTGAAATCCTTGAAAAGTCTTTGAATTGAAAACTCGTTTTCAAGGGCGCTTGAAAAGCCCTTCAGAAAATGCGAAAAATCGCTCCTGGAAAACACCTTGAATCTGATGAAATTGACATGTTGTTAGCTTTTGGATTTAAATGTGTCAATTTTTGAAAATCGTCACTTGAAACGTTCGCAAACTTCAAAAATAGTACTTGAAAATCATATTTTGTACTTAAAAATGTACTTGAAAAGTCCTGGAATTTTGCATTGAAAGTGTAGCAGGAATCCTGTGTAAAATGTCTTCTTTTCATCGCATTTGTATTAATAGAATGATCTGTTTGTGTTCCTAGGAAAGTAACCCTGATGTGTACGCCAACAAAGACTCTGTATTCACTCTTACATACGCTGTCATCATGTTAAACGTCGACCAGCACAATACAAACATCAAACAACAGAAACCAATGACCGTCGAGGTAATGTATGGGTTGCCTGTGGTGGGAAATCAGAGAAGGACTGGGGCAATGTTTCATTTTGTACTCATTGTTTGTTTTGTTTTAGGATTTTAAGCGCAATCTTCGAAAAACAAATGGTGGAGTTGACTTTCCTGCCTCCATGCTGGAAGAAATCTATCACGCTATTAGGTAGAAGTTCTTTGCGTTACTGTGATAAAGTCATTAGAATGAACTCGTTTAACCTGTGAAATAGATATTCACTAATACACCTTAGTACACTCTCTAATTGCATTGTTTTCTTTTGTGTCTTTGTGACTATCACACTTAATAGTCAATTTTTGTTTCACGGTTTGTAATGGCTTCACTCTACACTCTATATGAAAAAATAGTTAGTGAAGTCAAGAAACCCGTGGAATAGATATTACACTAATATACCTTAGTGCCCTCTAATTGCATTGTTTTCTTTTGTGTCTTTGTGACTGTCACACTTTAATAGTCAATTTTTGTTTCACGGTTTGTAATGGCTTCACTCTACATTCTATATGAAAAAAAAAATAGTTAGAGTGAAGAAGAAACCGCGTAATAGATATTACACTAATACACCTTAGTACGCTCTAATTGCATTGTTTTCTTTTGTGTCTATTTGGATATCACACTTTAATAGTCAAATTTTGTTTCACGGGTTTAATGATTTCACTCTAAAGGCATGAAATAGTTACATTTATTATTACAATTTACAATTTATTATTGCAATAGAACTGAAGAAATCGTAATGCCAGCTGAAAGAACCGGTAGAATACGAGAGAATTACGAATGGAAGGTATGCAAGTGTCCATGTTATTTTTATGATCATGGTGGTTTTTACACCTAAAAGTATTCAGAAATCCAAATGGTATTTGCCTAAACATGTTAAATTATAGCATTACTCGTAGAGAAGGTCCTTTTATTCAGTGCAGACAATCATATGGCACTGAAACTCGTAATATTTTCTTTCTAATGCTCCTTTTTGGTCTTAGCTTGGAACCTTTTTGAACCCGACAATTTTTTTCAATACTCCATTTTCGAATTCAAAGCGAATAACCGCTGTTTTATTTGACAGCAGATTCAATTACGCAAAAAACTTACCAAAGACAAAAGAAAGCACGAGAAAATGTTGTACGTACAATAGCGCTAACAATTTACATTTTCCCCGAGTTGAGGCTAACCCTGTATTCCCAGAAGGCTCATACCTTAGGTCTTATGGGAATACAGGGTTAGTCTCAACTCGGGGAAAATGCAAATTTTCAAGGCTATTGTAATAACGACATTTTCTCGTGCTCTCTTTTGTGTTGGTCAGGTCTTTGCGCAAGAGAATCTGTTGTCAAATAAAGCAGCGGTTTTTCGCTCTGAACTCGAAACTGGAGTATTAGGTGTATGTATAGTTTACAACATGACCGGCCGTGTTGTATGGGAAGTGAAGTTCATCAGATTAACAAGATAAAACACCTGACCAAATAGACAGACCTTGTTGGACTAATATCTCATAAATTATTAATGAGTTTTGTAAATTCTTATAGATGTTGTTACGCCGAAGCACCACCCACGAGGGAAAGTATATATACGGGGTGGGGTCCAGTTTTGACCAGGATCTGTTTTCAATCATCTGGGGTCCTACTGTAGCCGCCTTGTCCTACGTTTACGACAATGCAYTAGAGAAAAGTGTTGTACAGAAGGCTATATCAGGGTTCAGGTTAGTTTGATCAATATACAAAGTAACGTTTGAATGGTGAATTATCGTATTGGTCTTTTGAAGGTGGACATTGATCTTTCATTTCTTAAAGTGCAACTGATACCTTCTAGAAAGTCATTTCATATGAAAGAGAACATTCTCCTAAGCGCTTCTGAAAAGGGAAAAAAACATTCAAATTTATATCTTCTGATTTAGAAATATTTGAAAATCGGAAATGCAAATTTAGTAACGTCAAAAAAGGAATGATTTAATATGCAAAATCACGAAAAAAATACATTACTCTTTTTTTATATCGGAGATGACATTTCCAGTTCTTGAGTATCACTGTTATTGATGTTTTGACCATTTCAACCGAACACAAGATATCGCAAACAATGAAAAACCAATGAAAAACCAATTCCTTGATTGACGTCGCTTCATTAGCATTAGTCAATTTTCAAATGCCTTTAACTCAGCAAATAGAACTCAAACAACTTCTTTTTCTTCAAGACAATGATTAGCATCATATTTGCCTTTTTTTAATGATTTTCTAAAAGGATTCAGTTGCACTCTAAGAATTATGAAGCACATCTGAAAGGTAGAGGCTATTTCGTCAACCTCAGAATGACATTCCGTCAAGACAAGCAACAAAAAACGACAATAAACACCAAATCCTAACCCTAAAACTAACCCTGTAATTCACCCTAACCCTAAAACTAGCCCTACAATTAACCCCAACCCTAAAACTAATCCCTCAATTAACCCCAACCCTAACCTTAGAGCTAAAAATATTGCTAAAGTATGGAATTTGAATTGCGATAATTGTTTGAGAATGCCCTTCTGATTCTTGCGAAATAGCCATTACCAATGTTAACGCCTGTTAGTAGAACTTTAAATGATTTGAAAATACAAATTCCATCATAAGTATCATCACTCTGCAGAATCTCGCTTTTCCAGTTTTTATATTTCGGGTTCCCTGTGGAAAAAATGTGGGAAGAAAAAAGACAAATTTCATCTAACACAGGGAGCCCGTTATTTTTAGAAAAGAATGAGACGCCTGCGAAGGAGGCTGACATTACTTAGGATTACTGGCTAGTAAAGAAATATAGGAAGAAACTGCAAACTAGTTTAAGCTTTGATATATTTTAGTTTAACAC